TGACCTGCAAAACACTTTTCCATATATATAAAATTTATTTTTTAAATTAGTAGCACATGAGTTTAAGGGGCATGTAACTGATATCCTAGGTCAGCAAATGACTAGTATGAGAAAAATGTTGGAAAGTAATGCTCTCTTGAACAGCGTTAACACCTGGTTGACCAAAAGAAAGAACAGTGTTAAAACCTGCAATTGGTCTCATTAGAAGGAATGCATAGGTGTGGGGCAGACTGTAAATTTGATTGCTTGGGATGGTAAGGAAGAGGTTTATGAGACAATTAATGTAGTTTGACTCAAAAAGTTCTCTTTTGTTTTCCCTTGACCTTGCATTGATTTCACTAATCATGCTCATTTTGCTGAAGATGGAAAGCTGTACTTGTAAGAATCCACATAGACATTTTTATATCTTCTTGAGGTCTTCTACTCATCTTTTAATATTGTTTCCTTTAACCACTGAATGTGGCAGAGTTTGGAAGATGAAGTTGTTAGGGAGACTGTCCTTGGATTAGCAAGTTTGCGGTCATGGCATAGTTTGTCATATGGTCGCTTTCAGGTAAGCTCTACTGGCAGCATACATGTTTTGTCTGCATGTATGTTATAATGTATTGCAGTGCTAGATGAAAATTATATTTCAGTCCCAACTTTGTGCATGATGGTTGATTTTAATTGTCTCTTCTCTAGATGGAACTTTGCATGAATCCAGATTTGATCAAGAAATGGAAGAAGATGATAAAGAAAGAATCTGATGAGGCTAAGAAACAAGGCGGGTGTTTTGATCCATCAGCTTCATTTGAAGTGAACTTCTTAAGAAGTTTAATAGAAGAGTTTCTTGAGGTTATCTTTATAAAAATTTGTTGCTACGTTTTTTTTTTTTTCATTTTTATTTTTATTTATGTGAAAGTGCTTGGGGGTTTTGCTTCTAATAAATGGCCTTTTACCAGGTTCTTGATAATAAGGTGTTCCCCCAAAAGCATTCTGTTAATGAAGATGATGAGCTTGCTGATGCTAATGGTTTTGACCAAGTTGATGATGCTAGTGTCTTGTATTGTGAGAGGTTTATGGAATTTCTTATTGATCTTTTGAGCCAACTGCCAACAAGGAGGTACTGTTGCACTGTCATCAGGGTCTTATACTCTTTGTTGAATTGACAAATTCCCTTTTTAGGTCTTGGTTTTTGTGGGGAAAAAATGGTGGCATAAGATTTTGCCTGTTCATATTTTCCTCCTTATTTAAGCCTTTTTATCCTGAATTTGACTATTGTTTCATGTTCCTATGAATGGTTGAAGTTCCATCCAAAATCATATTACCTCATGATTGACGTGACATGTTTCTTGCATTTCTTTCTGCTTTCCTGCGCTTTTTTGATTTTTGCATTCCTGATTCACTTGTTTGAGGTTCAGGTACCTGAGGCCTCTCGTAGCTGATGTAGCTGTTGTTGCTAAATGCCATTTAAGTGCTCTCTATAGACATGAAAAGGGGAAACTCTTTGCACAACTGGTTGACTTGTTACAGTTCTATGAAAATTTTGAGATAAATGATCATGTTGGCACTCAGTTAACGGATGATGAAGTGCTTCAGTCTCATTATGATCGTCTTCAATCCTTCCAGCTACTAGCTTTTAAGAAAATTCCCAAGGTCTGTTATGAGTGGTTATATTTGATTTGGAGAAAGATTCACTTGTTAGAAGTCACTAAATTTGTAACTAGTGGATTTTAGGGCAACTAATCATTAGTTTTTAAACTTTTATCTGTTTATTCCTGCAGTTGCGAGAACTTGCTCTGGCCAACGTTGGTGCAATTAACAAGCGTCCTGATCTTTCAAAGAAATTGGCTGTGCTTTCTCTTGAAGAGTTAAAGGACTTGGTTTGCTCTAAGGTTTGTAGACTGTTAAGTTGACTTCTATATATTTTTCTTTTTTTCCACTGGATCTCTGGAATTTTTTTTAAATTGTTGTGGCTTTTACTTTATTGTATCTTGGGGGCCAAATTGTTTCTCTGTGATCTCATATCCTTTGATTGTTATTTTGTACCCTATATTTTTAGTCCCATTATCAAGTTCCTGCTTTATTGCAACAGTGATTCACTTACTCATCTACTGCTTCAATGCAGCTCAAATTGGTTTCGAAGGATGACCCTTGGTCAGATAGGATTGATTTTCTGATTGAGGTAATGGTCTCCTTTTTCGAGAAACAACAATCTCAAAAAGAGGCCATTAATGCTATGCCACTTTACCCGAATGAGCAGATTATGTGGGATGAAAGCGTTGTTCCTAGTATTAATTATTCTGGAGAAGGTTGCCTGGCCCTTCCGAAGCTTAATCTGCAGTTTCTAACTCTCCACGACTATCTCCTAAGAAATTTCAATCTCTTTCGTTTGGAATCAACTTATGAGATTCGTGAGGATATCCAAGAAGCCATTCCTCACCTCCTTGCTTACATCAATAATGAGGGAAACACAGCTTTTCGTGGTTGGTCAAGGATGGGTGTGCCAATCAGGGAATTTAAAATCACTGAGGTAAAGCAGCCAAACATTGGAGAAGTCAAACCTGCTTATGTGACTGCAGTGATCACTTATAGCATTTCTAGCTATAGGGCACAAATAAGATCAGAATGGGATGCCCTTAAGGAGCACGATGTTTTGTTTTTGCTTTCTATACGTCCTTCTTTTGAACCTTTAAGTGCAGAGGAAGCTGCAAAGGCCAGTGTGCCTCAGAGGCTTGGCCTTCAGTATGTACGGGGATGTGAAATTATTGAGATCCGTGATGAGGAAGGAACTCTCATGAATGATTTTACTGGAAAAATCAAACGTGATGAGTGGAAGCCCCCCAAAGGTGAACTGAGAACCGTGACTGTTGCTTTAGACACTGCACAGTATCATATGGATGTTACTGACATTGCTGAGAAAGGTGCAGAGGATGTTTATGGAACATTTAATATCTTGATGAGGAGGAAACCTAAGGAAAATAACTTCAAAGCAATTTTAGAATCTATAAGGGATCTCATGAATGAATATTGTATTGTTCCTGATTGGTTGCACCAAATATTTTTGGGCTATGGGCATCCTTCTGCAGCACAATGGACAAACATGCCTGATCTCCTAGAAACGGTGGATTTCAAAGATACTTTTCTTGATGCAGACCATTTGAAAGAGAGTTTCTCAGATTATCAGGTCAGCATTGCTTTTCTTTCAATCTGATGATGAAGATTAATGATGTTTTTGTTCTACTGGAAGAGTTTTGGCATGCATTGAAGACTACTGAAACTTATCTTTATTTTTTCTTTGTTTATAGGTGTTTTTTAGAAGTACTGATGGGGGTGAGAATATGGATCCAAAACCGCCGTTCCGCATTAAGCTTCCCAGGACGCTTAAAGGCAACAAGCATGCTCTTCCAGGGAATGACAGATCTGACAAGGATTCAGTGAATGAGGTAGATATGGTTGATGCTGGTATTGAGAAAGAAGAGCTGGTTGTTGAGGCTTACATTCCTCCAGACCCAGGTCCTTATCCTCAAGATCAGCCAAAACAGAATTCTGTTAGATTTACACCAACTCAGGTATCTGGCAACACTTTACTAATTTTATGCTTTCTTCCCTACTGATTTTCTCAAGATATATAACCAGGGGAGGAAAGTGCACAATCTTGCTTAATTTGTGGTGATTATTCTGTAGGCCTTAATTTTGCTGTCTATTTTAAGCGTGGAGTTGATCATAACTTTGAGCTTTCCTATATAGCTCACAATTTGGTTTCACACAGTTGAACACTGTTGGAAAATAGAGGTTCTATAATTAAATTTAGAAAAGAAAAAAAGTTATTCTCGTATTCTGTTCAGAAGGTAGAAATGATTATGTAGGCAAAATTACTTGCTTAAGGGTTGAGCTTTTAATGCAGCTTCCAGACTCATGTTGAGATTTTTATGAAACTAGTTGACTCTCTTTAATAACTGGTTCAAACCTTTTCTTTTCCACAGATTGGAGCAATCATCTCAGGTATTCAGCCTGGACTTACAATGGTTGTGGGTCCACCAGGGACAGGAAAGACTGATACTGCTGTGCAAATCTTGAATGTTCTCTATCACAATTGTCCTTCTCAGAGAACCTTAATAATCACCCATTCAAATCAGGCTTTGAATGACCTTTTTGAGAAGATAATGGAGGTATGATATTTAATATGATGGTAATTGCAATATTTTCCATTCAATGCCTATCCAAATCTTCATATAACATGGGGCATACCTGGCAACAAATTTCTTGATGTGTGTTACCTGTTGGTGTTTTAGAGGGATGTGCCTGCGCGCTATCTTCTTCGTTTGGGTCAAGGAGAACAAGAGCTAGCAACTGATCTTGACTTTAGCAGACAAGGCCGTGTGAATGCAATGCTTGTTCGACGGCTAGAATTGCTTGGCGAGGTGGAGAGGCTTGCAAGATCCCTGCAACTGCCAGAGGACGTAGGATATACTTGTGAAACAGCTGGTTATTTTTGGTTGCTTCATGTATACTCACGATGGGAGCAATTCCTTGCTGCTTGTGTGGGTAATGAAGATAAAGCAACATTTGTCCAAGACCACTTCCCCTTCAAGGATTTCTTTTCAAACACCCCTCAGCCAGTCTTTACAGGCCTGTCATTTGAGAAAGACATGCGGACTGCTAAGGGGTGCTTCCGCCATCTTAAAACTATGTTTCAGGAGCTTGAAGAGTGCAGAGCCTTTGAATTGCTCAAGTCAACAGCTGATCGAGCAAATTACTTGATGACCAAGCAGGCAAAGATTGTGGCAATGACATGCACTCATGCAGCACTCAAGAGGAAGGATTTCCTTCAATTAGGGTTCAAATATGATAACTTACTGATGGAAGAAAGTGCCCAGATATTGGAAATTGAAACTTTTATCCCAATGTTGCTCCAGAGGCAGGAGGATGGTTATGCACGGCTTAAACGCTGCATATTGATTGGTGATCACCACCAGCTGCCTCCTGTTGTAAAGAATATGGCTTTCCAAAAGTACAGCCACATGGATCAGAGTTTGTTTACGAGGTTTGTTCGTTTGGGCATTCCTTACATTGAGCTCAATGCTCAAGGTAGAGCAAGGCCAAGCATAGCCAAGCTTTACAACTGGAGATATAGAGATCTGGGAGACCTTCCCTATGTGAAAGAGGAAGCCATCTTCCATAGAGCAAATGCTGGATTTTCCTATGATTATCAACTGGTAGATGTACCTGATTACCATGGGAAAGGTGAGAGCGCACCTTCTCCTTGGTTCTATCAGAATGAGGGTGAGGCTGAATATGTTGTCAGTGTCTATATATACATGCGATTGCTGGGGTACCCTGCAAATAAGATTTCCATCTTGACAACTTACAATGGCCAGAAGCTTTTGATACGTGATGTTATCAACAGGCGTTGCGTTCCTTTTGACTTCATTGGTCCACCCAGTAAGGTAAATGATGTGACTCCTTTCGTGTTATGATTTGGATATGCTATATAAAAAATGTTTGTCATAGCCTTGGAAGATGATACTGATTATATTTTCAACTTTTTTGTTCTTAAATACTGGAATTCCAGTTGGAACCCTCCCATAGATGGCTTTGATTATGGTATGACCAGTTAGGTGGTCTAGGTGAAGCTTGGTTCTTCTTCAAATTTGTTCCATTATCAATGATGCTGTTGGTCATATTAGAGTGTTCATAAGATGTGCGATGATAGACGTCTTTCTTAAATTATTTTATTCATTTTCATGGGTAGTTCTTTATGTTTATAACTGGCTTATTGATAATCTTTGTCTGTAGGTTACGACAGTTGATAAGTTTCAAGGACAACAAAATGATTTTATTTTGCTATCTCTTGTGCGAACTCGCTTTGTGGGTCACCTTCGGGATGTTAGAAGATTGGTTGTTGCCATGTCTCGTGCTCGCCTTGGCCTGTATATTTTCTGTCGACGTTCTCTTTTTGAACAATGTTATGAATTGCAGCCTACTTTCCAACTTCTGCTTCAAAGGCCAGATCATCTTGCTCTAAATTTGAATGAGAATTCATCAGTTACGGAACGTCATGTTGATGATTTTGGGAATCCATATCACGTCAGTGGTGTTGAGGAGATGGGTAGTATTGTATTTCAAAGAATAGATCAGTTATATCAGGTATAATATATTCTTCTATTTGAAATGTTAAGACAGCATTTTTCTTTATCTGCTAGTAGGATTGTATTATTTTGTATCAGTATGATGGCTTATGCTCAAGGTTTAATGAACGAATTTTCCCTTGTCAGGCACGTGCTATGTATATTCAATTGAATCAATATATGGCATATTCTGGGCAAGAAATTCCATCCATTAGAACCGAGGAGCAAAACGGTGACCATAATTCAATTCCTGGAAGCCATGCCATGGACATTGATATGCCAGCATCTGCAAACAGTGCAACGCCAGGTGAAAGCCAGTCAGTAGAAGGTACTGATGTGAATGGCCTTGCAAATGGTAAAGATGGAGAGTCAACTCTCAAGGGCCAAGAAGGTAAAGAAAATGATTCTGAAGTTCATGCAGGTGATGAAACTGTTGTGCCACCTCCAAGCAATTCAAATGATAAAGACGGGATGGAGTAGCCTGATTAAGACAACTTTTCTCCTGCCATTTTTGTTTCATAATCAATTTTAAGAATTACCTGGGATGTTAGACAATGCGTGAACTTAAATCCGCAAAGCCAACAAAGTAGTCAACTGGCCTTGGGGAACAGGAGTGCTCTAAGCAAGGAATCAGCTTTGCTGAGAGGGCTATAAGAGCTGTTAAGTTGCTTATTTCCATGAGATTCTAGGATGACATGATGATGGACAAAATGTTGGGTGTTTGGATTTATACTCAAATGCTTTCTGAAGTCCTGTGCTGGAGTTGCATCTGCTTAAGTGCTAACTATTGGGGGATCTGTTGTAAATTATTGATTGTGTTGCTAATCCCATTGCTGGCAATCAGGTATTATGTTGACTGAATTTAGCTACTTAATTATTGGATTAGGCAACCTTGTTAGATTACATTACATTTATTTACTGCAATAGAAGCTTTCCTTTTGAATACTCTGCCGAGCTTCAAGTTCATTTGTTGGAAAGAAAAGCTAAGGACGATAGGAATTTTGATGTCACTGAAATTTAGATTTTTTAGCATTGTGAAATTAAACCCTTTGTGGACCATTGAAAAGTTCCATTACATCAAGCTTTTGAGTTTCGAACGATCTCTAGTTGGATTGCTGTCAAACTGAGGTAATGCATTCTTCCTGAGATAATGCTTTCTTCCTGCTGCGGTGCTGACCTTTCTCATCAAACTCTTTTCAAGGTAAATCACTTCAAAAGCTAGTCATCTATTTTCATAGGAAGCTTCTAGAGAACAACCTTGAGCTAAGAAGTGATGTTTATTCATGCAATCTTAGTTTTATGCCATTGCAAGTGATGGGTATTGAAATGACTCGGGTCAAGGCTTCCCATGATCCATATTTTTGTTTTTCTGATGTAAAAAGCTACCTTTATCCTTTTTTTTATTGAATTTTTTTTAATCTAATAATTGTTTAAATTAAAATTTATCTCATGCTCAAAAATTTAAGTTTAAGTTGTTAGTAGTTAGTCTTGATATTGATATGATTGGCACTTTTTGTGCCCGATATTTGTAGTGCGACAGACACTAATCATAAATAAATAACATTCCATTATTACCCAAACAAAAGACTTTGAGTGTCAGCATCTATCAATTGCAATCGGAAAACCAGTTCCAATAATACACGCTCAGATGAGGTTTTAGTCATCATGCAATCATGAATGGTCAGAGCCTTTTAATCAGCAAGAAGATAAGGTGGTGCGATAGATGAGATAACAATTTCTGTGTATTACTTTATTTTCCTTTTTGTCATTTCTGAACATCACTACTTTCCTAAGAATGTTAGTGGGTGCATCCTGTTTAGATAGAAAATGAATAGGCTATTGTTTCTTAAGAAAAAATATCTAGCAATTAGTAATGCAGTGGAGATCTTATCTCCTCTCCCACTTTGTGCGTGAGATAGGCGTCCACACAATCCACTACCAGCAGTGGCTTAAAATTTCAAGGAGATGACTAAAAAATTTTTCCATGACACTTGTCTTTAATCAAATCATAATTGAACTATAAAAAAATGATCTTAAATTCTTAATATGAAATAAATTACTACCACTTAATTGAAGAAAGAAAATGAAATTGCAATTTCTTGAAAAGAAAACATGAGATCGTCACAAACTGCATAAATACTTGGGGAAAAAAAACGAAAAAAAAAAAAAAGAAAGAAAATTTGGGGTCGAGTTGCTCCATCAGAGAAAAAGAGACAAATCATGAGATAAATGTGTGTATACTTATTTGGTGTCTCACGTGGGATAGAGGACACTAACCAAATTTCCAAATTGGTCGAAAAAAGGGAAAGCAAATTCGCAAATTTCGTTTTTTAAAAGCATGGAGCATCTTCGCTGTGCAAATTTCTATTGCAAGCAAGAGCAAACAACACACTTGATATTTTTTTACCACATCCGAGGTATTTTATGTGTCACTTTTCACTCCCTAGTGGCTATGTAATAATTTTTGGGTCCTTTTATGTAATGTGAAAAACGTGCAAAGCACAACCACCTGTTCAAGAGAAATCTTTCAAAGAATTCTTTACTTGTTCACCAAGAAGAGAATAAGTTCTCCGATTCTATTAGTATGGAGAAAAGTTTTGGCTGTAGTGGCTTTTAATGTCATCTTGTACAGCAGCTCAAAAAAATTGGGCTTTGGAGGTGGTTTGAAGATTTTAAACAAATATAAGATAGATTTGTGTGGTTAGGCTAACATCCTCATCATCATCATTGGGGGACATATAAACATGCCTAACTCAATTCATCTTTTATATGGGTAAGGTATAAAGTTGATTTTAGTTTAAGTTTAGTTAAACGAAGCTTTCTAAGCTCTTTATGTAGTTTGGTTAATGATGATTTTGCCAACCTTAATCCAGCACATGGAAGGAGCTATCTACTTAAAGAAGAAAAGATAAGAGAGGTGTTGATGTGAGATGTGATAAAGAATTTTCTTTCTCTGCAAAGAACAATTATACAATCATGAAAATTATTTGTGAATAAGTTGAATTTACTATTTTAATTTGATTAACTATTGTTATATTATATTGTTAACAAACCTTGTCAATAAATCATTTTCGTAAAATCTTTCTATAATGATTAAATGATAAGTAATAATTCCATTAAAAATTTATTCCTTTTACAACTCAACTAAAGCTAAAGCAAATTGGTTTTTGGTTAAAAAGTTGATTCAAATATGAAGAGAAAAAAACGAAAATCTTTTTAAGCTTGCTTCATAGTCCATATATGGTTAGCAAACTATTTGTTATCTTTCTATGCAAGAAACAGATTTGAAACTTGAAGATGTTGCAAGCAATTACCACAGAAATCACATTTACAATTTAATCATTTTTACCCATGTCTTACTAATGGAGTAATTGAATATATGCAGAACGCATCATTGTGATGATGATAATGATGATGATGTTTGGGTTCATGCCTGAGGACAATCAGGCCTTAGAGCACTTGGGGAGGACCCATGTTTAGTGGAGAGTTATGGGCCTGTCCCGTCATAGAAAAAGAGAGAATAAATATCATCATACAAATCTTCATCATACAAATCTTGATCATCTTATATACCCTCCCCGTATATTAAACAAACTAGCAAAAAGTATACTTTATGTCCATGTCCTCCATTTCCTAAATCTAACAGATCCTTAAGTATCATGTTCTCTTCTCCTTCCCTCCCTCCCTCCCCTCCCTCTCTTCCCCTCATAACAACAAGCAGCATAAACACACTGAACTAGACATTAGTATCTCTCCTATGCTAGCTGTTCTACCCCTTTTTGTTGTGGTCTTCACAAATTTTAAGGGGTTGATATGGGTCTTCCTCAAACTCAATCTCCAGCACCTCCTCACTTATACCCACAAGCTATTCAACTTAAACTATACCAAGCATTCATATTCTCCATTCCCATACTCTTCTCCATCATTCTCTTTCTCTTGTTTTATTTGTTCTACCTAAAGAGAAGAGCTAATTCTTCTCTTTCCCAGAACCCACCAATTCTTCCATTAAGTTTTAATAGGGCAAATCCCTTTGTTTCCTCGGTAAGATCTCTCTCTTGCTCTCACATGTATGGAGAAAGAAATAGATTGTTTTTGGCAAATATGTCTTTGTTTCCATCTAAGCGTTACTATATTTT